AAAAAAAACCCAACATGTGGGCTCCAGTGACCACAAGAGTCGCAAACAATTACAAATTAGGAGGTCCTGCTTGTTTTGTCACCACACCGCTCAGAGCACAGAAATACTGGCCAGCGCTGCCACCAGCAGAGGAGCAGCAGCCGTCGTGGCGGTGGTCGCGTCTGGTTTGGCGGCCGTGGAGGCATCCGCTTCGGGCTGTTTGTCTGCGGCAGCAGAAGCTTCGGGGTTTGTTGTAGTAGACGAGACTTGGGTGGCATCAGGCTCCTCTTCCTTAATTTCTTCTTCAATAGGAGTGGTCTCCTTTAGAGTGACCGCTGCCTTGTTCGATGAGGATTCTGTTTGAGCGTTGCCACCACCATCTGGTGGGCTCTGTTGAGCTCCCACCGCCGCTGGGGATGAAGCACGTGCAGATTTTTCAGAACTGGATCCGCTGGCAGCCTGGTCCGTCTTTGCAGGGGAACCCGCTGGCGGTGGAGCCGAGGCGCTGTTTGGATTACCGGCTCCATGGCCTATCTGCACGGTGCCAGCACTCATGTGTCCTCCCAGTGAGGAGTTTACAGTCTTGGGGGTGCTGCCAGGCCCCTCTTGTTGTGGTGGTGCAGGTTCGAGTTGAGAACCTTGATCAGGGGAGGAAGTCCCGACCTTGCCATCAATACCTTTTTGGGGCCTTTTTGCATCCTTCCCAGGTTGAACTTTGGGAACACAAGTCTTCTCCTTCAAAACTGACGTAAGCACTTTCTGTCCTTCAAGGCAATCAGGTGTGCCGTCTGCATTATGGGCTCTTGAAGAATCCTCCTTCGCATGAACGGAAACGTCTTGTGCATCGGAAGAACTCCCAACTGCTTCTGCCTGATCTTGTTGAATTTCTTTCAGCTTGGATAGAGTGCACTTAACACCTGTAGAAGACGGGGCATTTGTCTGACAAGCTTCACGAATCTCATCTGCCTCCTCCAGCCCATCCTCACCTTCTTGTGCGTTCACATCCTAACCTTTTGATTCAACTTTTGGCTCTGGCTCAGGTCCCGCTACGTTGGGCACCGCAATTTTCTTTTTGCATTCCTCGGTTTCCATAGCCTCCATGCCTTTACATGGTTCCGCCTCCTCCTTCTCCTGGGCTGCCACGCACAAAGACGCACAGCACAGAACGAGGACCCACACGCACAACAAACGGCGTACCATCAACATAATCAAATACAGCTTCAGCCGGTGGAGTCTGCCAGAGAAAGAGAGATGGGAAAAAGGAGCATAGTGAAGTCGCAGCAGAAGTAGCACAATGACAACAGCAACATGACATTACTGCTGTTTAGTCAGCCGGTATATTATTTCACGCCCTTCGCTGCTGCCCGGTTACGCGAGCCTTACGGCAAAATCGTACAGCCCCATAATAATTATAAGGCATAATTCAATCCCATTTTGTTCCTCGCTTACCGTTGAAACCTTCACAATCCCCTCTTCAAAACAAGAGGAACCGTTGCGGTGGTCAATTCCCACTTCGCACCATACAGCCCCTCTCGCCACGACAAAGCGCCAGAAAGGAGAGCCATACGAAAAAAAAGTCCACAGCGCACTTGCCTAAAGTAGGCAGCGCGAGTATAAGCCTCGATATGGTTCCTGGGCTCACCAAATCGCTGCGGCTGGCACGTCGTAATCCCCCCTGCCTTCGCCCTCCTCATCCGGACGACGTAGGTGGCGATGTCCGCCTCGAACCGCCACGCCGCCCCCGCGCAATCGCCATTCGACGAAGTGGCAAAGAGCAGAAGAAGGGTGGGGCAAAGCACGCCTCTCCACAGAACAACCCCGCGAGCGCGACAGCGCACCGCAACCCCAGCAGAGATCATAAATCGCCATGGTAGCGGCGGTGGCGAGGAAGGCTGGGGGTAAGCCGCGCAAGGAACCATGGAGACGGAGTGTGGCTGCCACCATGGCTGGTGCTCACTCTTCGTGCTGCTGGAGTTCAGCGGGCGTTGCCCAGGACGGTGTTGGTGCGACCGCTGTGTGTGGCTGGAAGAGAAGCATGGGCACGGTGCCGGGGGAAGAAGAGACGAGTCGGGTGGCGGCGGTGGCGGTGAGTGGGTGCATGCGCCGGCTGTGCTGCTGCTGCTGTGTGTGGTGGGCTGTGTGCAGAGTCTGTGGTTGTATCCGTGTGATTGTGTTGCGACCTGAAGCCAGTCTTGACATGCTATTAGACTGTTGTTGTTGTTTGTGTGGTGTCTTGCCGCACTGCTGTGGGAGGGGACGTCACTGCACTAACCTTTGACGGCACTCACTGTGCTTTGCTGCTGTTGTGGGTGTGGGGTAATGTCTTCTCTTGGTGCCTGAGCCTTGCTGTGTGCGTGACTGTGCGCCGCCCCTTAAGTGTTTTGTTATTTGTTGTTGCGTGGGGTGGCACTGTGCATGTGCTGGGCTTCTGTTGGTGCCACTGCTGGGCTGTTGGTGGAGTGTGGTGCTTACTGTTGGTGCTGTGTGGCGTTGTTGTTCTCTCACTGGTGGTTACTGTGTGCTTGGCTGCCCTCTGTTGTTGATTCTTGTGTAGGCCTCTGCGTGGAAGCGACTTTGACTGCAGTGTCATGCTGGTGGTGCGCCACGTGCTGTTCGTTGCTGCCCTCCTGCTGCTGTGCGGGATTGTGCCAGCTGTTGGGACGTCAACAAGCAACATGGATGAAGTGAAGAAAGCTCTCAGAACCGTAAAGGAAGCTGCAGGGGGTGCAGCAGCAACTGCTGAAGGGGCTTACAAGAAGACTGCTACATCTGAGGCTTCAGAACACGCGTTAGTTGCCGCAACGACTGCGCAAACTGCAGCTGAGGCTCTGATAAAGGCTGTTGATCTTGGCGTTAGTCAGGAAAATGCTGCTGAAGTTAAAGAAAAAGCTCAGAAAGCCATGACAACATCTACGGCGGCAAAAGATCTCCTCACTAAGGCGGCAGGCTCATCACAATTGGTAGAAACCGCAACAAAGGAAGCACTTCAGATGTCCCAGGTCATCAAGGAGAATGTTGAGAGGGCAATAAGGCTGTGGGATGGTTTAGTCCCTCAAGAAGTACAGGCGTTACTCGAACTTGCAGAAACAAGTGAGGCTGGACTTGGTGACGCAGCGAGTAATGCAGCTTCTTGTTTGAGTGACGTAACCGATGCTCAAAAGAGCGCAACAACTGCAAGTCAGCAGGCCAAGTATGCAATGGATGAAGCTCATACGATAGCAGGAATAACAGAAAGAAACTCAGGTGCTCTTCAGACTGAGACAAATAAACAAAAAGTAAAGGAGTACGCTAAACTTGCAGCACAACACGCCACAGAGGCACTAAACAAGGCCAAAACGGCAGCGGGAAATGCCACAACTGCACGTGGGAACGCTAAGAAGGCAACTGATGCAGCTGGACAAATACTTCAGGCTGCAAATAACGCAGTAGCGGCTGCTGATAAAGTTGTGATACAACCTAAGAAACATATTCTGCCCTCACCAAGCTCTCAGGGAGGCGTGAATTCACAAATGCAGCAAAATATGCAGGAAAACGCGAACCTTGCCAAGACCGAAATGCGTCAAGTAAATAACGAAGATGTTGTGGCTTCTTCTCAAATAAATGAAAGAAAGGAAGTAGAACAGGGCCAATTGATACCAGAAGGTAAGAAAGAAGTGGAAGTACCTAACAATACTCCTGTTGCAGCTGCTTCTCAAACACCGGCAGAAGGAAAGGACAAC